GCCACGGAACTCAGAGGCAGCGGCGCTTGGCAACAGCGACATCATGGGGTTCCATCACCCCATCACAGTGGCCCCCTCCTTGGGTCAGCAGAGCCCAATGCTGCATCCTCCACCCCCTGAACTGTCCACCCATGTGTGTGTGTGTGTGTTTGTGTGTGTGTGCATGCACACATGTGTTCCTGTATGTGCTGCTTCCCTAGCCAGGCCTGGCTGTTCTTCTCAAATGTGCATGCACATCCTCATCACTGTCACCCCCAGGGTGCATGGTTCTCCTCACAGAGGCCACAGGTGCCGTCCCGTCTTTGCTATGCTCACCCGGCGCTGGCTCTTGGGTGCAGAAGGGGGAGAGGGGAGGGCTTGCCCCTCAGCAGGTGGGAGCCAGGTCGTGTGTGATGTGCTAAAATGAAAAAACCAGAAACCCCAAAATAGGATCACACACGTACCAGCCCAGAGTATTCCTTTAAGATCACATTCAAATAAAGCTTATCCAACTTTCTAATACTTCTGTCTTTAATACCAAGGTTTACTCAACTTCTTGTTAGTGCAAAGTATTCCCATGAAGAAGAGTAATAGTCTTTTTTAAGGCTATGTAAAATAAACCACTAATTATGTAGATCTCTCAATAATCCCCAAGAACAATCTAAAAACCATGCCCTCCATGTTGTGCACCTTGCTGTTATTTTGGGTTCCCTGCTCGACAGTTCTGGCCTTGAACTTTTAGTAAAACCATTGATGCATCAGTTGTCAATTCAATGCCCACCTGTAAATTTTCTGAAATATCCTCTACAGGGAAGCCCTGATATGACGTGTCCCCAGTGTATGACCCCGTTGGAAAGCCTGCCAGTGTAACCCGACTGCTCACCAAAAGAGACCTTCTAAAAAGCCTCAGATGACTTGCCGCTCCTTCACCAGCAGGCTCATGAGTACTAACTTCACATCCAAGTATCCCCAGTCCTATCTGCTTCCCAGTCTTGAGGAACTAAAAGGCAGCGTTAATCAGATACTCTTCCGTCTGCAACTTCTTGGCTGCTCAGGACTTTTGTCAGGGGAGGACTCCCTGCAGTCATGCATCGGACTTCAGTGACTCGGCTTCCACTAGAATCTCAGCACACACGCTCAACCTTTACCCAGGAACGCGCTGTCCTCAGCCCTCACAGTTGCAGGCCCTCCACTGTACGTACCAGAAATGTATTTAACCTGGTGTGGATGTGGAAAGAAATAAACGTAAATCTTGAATTCAGACCTGCTATAATCATTTTGAGTTTTAGTAAAGATTATTTTGTTCAACAATATTCCTGCCATGTGGTATTCAGCAGGACGTTTTCATCAACCATTTTAGTGGACATTAATTCCCCATTACAAGTCCAGATTATAACCACTATTTCTGTATAATCTCATAATGTCAAACATCTCTGTCTCTGTCTCTGTCTGTCTCCATCTCTCTATCTCTGCCTCTCTCCATCTCTGTCTCTGTCTGTCTCTGTCTCCCTGTCTCTGTCTCTCTCCATCTCTGTCTGTCTCTGTCTCCCTGTCTCTTCCTCTCTCCATCTCTGTTTCTGTCTCTCTCCATCTCTCTATCTTTCTCCATTTCCCTGTCTCTGTCTCTCTCCATCTCTGTTTCTGTCTCTCTCCATCTCTCTATCTTTCTCCATCTCCCTGTCTCTGTCTCTCTCCATCTCTGTCTGTCTCTGTCTCCCTGTCTCTGTCTCTCTCCATCTCTGTCTCTGTCTCCCTGTCTCTTCCTCTCTCCATCTCTGTCTCTGTCTGTCTCCATCTCTCTATCTTTCTCCATCTCCCTGTCTCTGCCTCTCTCCATCTCTGTCTCTGTCTGTCTCTGTCTCTCTGTCTCTCGGTCTCGCTTTCTCTTCTCCTTAAGAAAGAGGCTCTTTTCTTGAGTGATGGGAAGTTGTCTGTTTTACCCACCATGCCTGGGCCCTCGCAGTGGGCATATTTTTGCACCAATTGGAGACCTTCAAACATGCACACATGTGGGTCCCCAGGCCCCCTGGGCACCCCAACGGGTCCTCTAGCCTCCAACTCAAGCCCATCCACCTGCACCCCTCCGTGGCCCCCTCTCACATGATGTGTCAGCCCCCCAGACACTTCACAATCTGCTTCAAGAATTCACAAAACTAATAGCTTTACAAAGAATCAATGAGTGGCACACGGGGTGGTGGGAGAAACGGGGCCTGGATAGCCGGGACATGGGGCAGAGGGATGTGTCTGAGATGGGGTCCCAACCTGTATCCCTAGAATCCGAGGCCTGAGAGGGCGTAGGGCCTATGTCACCCAGCAGTGTGACACACGGGACCCCAAGCTGGGCTGACCCACTGCCAGGTGGACCCAAGCCCAGCACCTCCCTGCTCAGGACAGGAAGGAAGCGCCGCAGCTGGGGGAAGATGGGCAGGAACTGCCCCAGTGGGGGGGGGTCCCTTGGGACAGCGTCTGCTCCCAGCTTGGGGGACCACACGCTCTTGGAACCAATCCCACCCTCAACTCCAGGTTTGTCATCTGGGCAATGAACCGCCATGTCTCCTGCAGGGGCCCTATGACATCTGGGTTCCTGAGCCTTTTTTACTACTGGCTGTCATAATTTTTTTTTTAAATTTTATTTTTTAAAAGACGACCAGTAATGGGATCGCAACCCTCAGAACGGTGCTGTCTGCACCATGCTCAGCCAGCCAGCACACCACCGGTCGTCCCTATATAGGATCCGAACTTGCGGCCTCGGCGCTACCAGTGCTGCACTCTCCTGAGTGAGCCACAGGGCCGGCCCAGGGGATCTGAACCCTTGACTTGTTGTTGTCAGCACCACGCTCTCCCAAGTGAGCTAACTGGCCATCTCTATTTTTCTTTATTTAATTTAAGTAATTTATTTATTTTTATTTTTTGGTGGCTCGCTGGTACAGGAATCAAACCCTGGATCTTTGTGTTATAACACGACTCTCTAACCAGCTGAGCTAACCGGCCAGCCCTAGAAACTCTTTATATATTAAACTTATTATAATTATGTGTTATTATATGTTGTTAAAAATATATTCACAGGGTGCTGATGACACCAAAGTCTGGGGTTTGATCCCTGTATCAGCCAGCCAAAAAATACACACACACACACACACACACACACACACACACACACACACATACATTCAAAATAAGGCATGTAAAATGCAATACAAGGGTTTGAAATTTTTATTTTAATAAAGACATTTTATCTAGTTTAATGCAATTACATATGACATAACTACATTGTTATCTATACCACTTATATATACAATTACACTTATTATTTAATGGTCATATTTTAGCTCTTTATGTATCAGGCACATTAGCCGTCTGTGATCCAAGTGGCCAATATTGTTTCCAGGTTTCCCATGCATGGCACTGCACAAAATAGCCTCCACCAAAAGGAGAGGGGGTGAAGGGGCCCCAGGATCGCATAGGTCTGGGTTCAAAGTTCACACGAGCTCTGTGACCTCAGGTGAGTCACCGAACCTCTCTGAAACTCAGCATCCCCTCTGCCAGGTGGATTTACGGACAGTCCCTGTTTCTCAGCATCTGTACAATTACTGCACTTGGGGCGATGCCCCTAATGCCGACTAATGTTCCATTCACCCTCCCCAGAGCCATGGGGCCTGTCTCCCGCTCCCAGCCCCTTTCCACCCGGTGCAGCAGAAACCAGGCCCAGCGG